TTATTAATATTTTATTAATATATTAATTTTTAAATAAATATTGAACAAAGTTTTTTAGAAAAAAAAAATATTTATTATAAATAAAGAAATTTAATGTATAAATAAATTATTCAGTTAAATTAAATTTAACATATATCGGAATCTTCAGATATAATAAAAAAATGAGTGAAAGATAGCTTTGACTTTCGCTTGAAGATGATAGCCGTAACTCGAACTTTGTCTGAGAAGGCTGACCATTTACGTCACCTTTATATGCCAGGGCTGAATTAAATAATACATCATTTTGAAACGTTATCAAAAATTTAGATTTTAAACTGATAACACGAAAACATATCAGACTAGCTGCGCTTCTTCCCTTATAGAAATTTAATACTAATACTGACCAATTAATCAGTTATTTTGAGTATTAAAACTTTTATTAATACTTTTTAGTACTCAAAATAAGGTTAATTGGCCAATACTAGTATTAAATTTTTACAAGGGTTTAATCTTTTTAAACGGAAGAAACTGCTACTTAATTTTAATCATGTTACATTTAATTATTTCTATCTAAATTTAATAAATAACATTAATTTATAAATTGAATTTCTTCACACATCGACTACATTTTTTTCTAAAAAAACTGCGGGATTTAAATATTTAAAGTTATCGGATAACGTTATAAAATTGAAAAGTTAGTAATAACATTACGAAAAATTAATCAAATTTTGATATGAATCATTATTTTAATGTAATCTTTACGACATTTAAATGATGAATACAAAATATTCGATTCTTACATTCGATTTCATACAAAAATATTCGATTCTTCAACTTAAATTTTTATTTTATCAGAAGAAATTTCAACTCATTCACCCCTGGTATTCACAATTCAGAAGTTCAGATCGTATTACGTCATCGCTTCCATTATTACGTAGTGTTACATCGTCATAACCATCGTCATAATCGTTTATGGACTATGTTCCGCTTCGTGACGTCGCGAAGATGAGATACTTCGCATGCCAGGATCGCATGATTTTCCAGGAGCGCCTCCGATTTTCTATCTTTATCGCAAAAAGATCTATATTATCCATATAATATAACTCTTTCATTTTTTTATTAAAATTTTAGTTTACCAATCTTTTATCAATTTAGACACGTCTCTCTTGAGGAGAATTAAAGTGTGATTTAAAATATAATGAAAAAAAGTATGGAATATTGAATTCTAAATAAGGTTTCAGTGCGAAGAAAATGACCTCATTTTCAAGTTTGATTACAACGATATAGAGAGAATATAGAGAGAAAAGAAAATTGAAAAAAATTACATAACGATTAGAGAACTGTGTTTTATACATTACAAACTGAAATATTATTTGTTGTTCATGTTTGCACATAAGAATGATTTGGATTTCATTAAATAAAAGAATATTTAGGCTCTGGCGCTCGTATGTCATCGAAGATGTTTAGGTCGGGTTCGTCGTCAGGCTCAAATTCGATGTCCATTGGATCGATCGTAGGAGGTGGATAGGGAATCCTGGGTTTCGCAGACGGTGCTGAACGTATCAGACACGCTTCCAGTCTTTCCTTCACACACTTTCTGTCACCTGTCGCATTTATTATGGACGCAGTTTCCCCCGCGTATTGCAATATGGCATCTATATTTTCTTTGTATTCCTGAAGCTACATTTTGCGAGTAACAACAGAAATAATTATAATAATAAATCAAGTAAGATATATAAATATAATTTATATCTAAAAAATAAATAAAATTAAAAATGCAGTTTAATTGTTAACAGAAAAGATTTATAATTTATCATTTTTATCATTCACGTTTCTCAATTATAGATAATAAAATAAAGTATTATTTAAACTTTGAATAAGAAAATTTTTTTAAGACATAATACGGTATTTACATCTTGTTCGATGATGTCTTTATAATTATTGGAATGAACATCTAATTTGTAGTCAGGATCTGTCACCGAAGATTCACACGATGAGAACTCATGCTCACTTTCAGTGGTAAAGTTGCATTCACGATTTAAGAGTCTTTCTCTGCACGTTTGTAGGTCTATTTTAAGGACAATGACTCTGAACATAATTTCAAAAATCGTAATTATTATAGAATTTCTGGAATTATTTCTTATAAGATTTACCTATTGGGTGGTGTAGATATCATATCTAGGAGTTTGAATTCTTCCACAGTTTTAGGATAACTTGTCAAAATCCATCCTCTCTTAAGACACTCAGACCCAAGTACATACCGCTGGAAATAATGACAATGCAAATACGATGCCAAATCAATTTAATGTTTTTTAGCGAACTATAATTACACCTCAATAATTTGTATTCGTGCTTCCGATTTTACTTTCTGTGCGCATCTGTGATCGCACATTCGCAGCATTTCATCTAAAGCCGTCTCTCGTAAACATGCTTCTTTCAAGATATTATTGAAATCAACTGTAAAAATATATATATTTTTGTTTGAAATATTATTATTATTATTAAGAACAAACTTGTCTAATTAAAGAATAATATATTGACAAAAATGATTGCAAAATGTAATATTAGAGATGAATAAATCTTCCTAATAAAATATATGTATAATTTTTAGAAAAAGTATTAAAATGTTACTAAGTAATTTTATATATATATGTATATTATACCATGAACGAGAGTAAAACTCTCAGATATATGTTTTGCCAAAGAACGATGATCTGATCCTCGAGGACCTATAAGAACAATGCGAAAAAGTGATGGGGCTCCATAGTGTTTTCTAATTTTCATTAATGTCGCGCATTCTTTACCCAACTCTTGAATCGTCTTATTACCAGCTTGAACTTCCTAAAGAAAATTGTTTTCATGATTTCATAACAAGCTAACAACATTTAACATAGAATCAATCAACGAGTATTTATAATAATTATAGAATAAAAATTTATTTTGCTAAAATATATTATGTAGAATATTAATATATGAACAATATATATTATGTAGAATATTAATATATGAACAATATATATATTAATTTTATAATTATATTATTATAAACGAATATAAGTCAAAGATTGATAACTAACAATTAAAAGATTAGCATAAGCGTCACGTAGACCTCGAAGATTTTTCTTATAATCGCATTGTCTTATATCTTCTACAAATAAACATTTAGAAAAAAATGAATTAGATGGAGTTAAAATTCTATATCATAAAGATTATATTTTATAATTATGTTAATATATAAAATATGGAAAAAATATTATTAATATAATATCGTTAATCTAAGAATGTTATAATTTATGTTTACAGAATGAACGTGTTTTGCAAAGATGAAGATGGATATGAATGGACTTAAAAGGAGAGATTATATATAATAATATTGTAAGTATACTTTTTTCTTGAATCTTGTCTTCTATACGAGATAATATAATTTGTATCACGTGTGTTGGTATTATGCCGACATACTGCATGGCACGTGCTTCCTTTTTATTTCTTGGTATATCTGTACATCAAATTATTTATTTACGCAAAAGAGAAAAAAGAAAATTAGTTATTCTTTTCTTGTAATATTAGTTATAATATATTGCAATATATATATTATATTGCAATAATGTTGTAGTTTTTCATAATAATCCAAGGTTCATTTTATTAAATGCAATAAAATTTTCGTAAGCAAAATTACCAACTAATATCCATCCAGATTCATGAAGTATTCCTGACATTAACATTTTCTTCATTCTGTTTGCGATCTCATTAGCATCATAGCAGCGGCATATATTCTAAAAAACACGTATTTATGTATAATAAACGTTTGGTGTACAATCAAAAATAAGGAAATTCATGCAACTTTTTAGTCTGAAACATCTTATGAGAAATAAATAATTTGGTAATATCATACTCCAATAGGAGATGAAGCATAAAGACCTTCTAAGGTAACAGGACAAATCCCAGTTTCCTTTTGAAGAATTTTTGCAAGAGTCATTTTATCTATATCAACAGAGAAGAAAATCTGTTTTATTCATTTTAGAAATAATATGTAGATACAAATATTGAAAATCTTCTTAAAACAAAAATTTTAGTTTATTGCATTTTATAAATGTAATTATTACTAAATACTCGAAGATATAGAAAATAATGAAGATATATTAAAAGAAAATATTTTGATATTTGTAACTATAATTACATATTATCATAATTATGATTATTATTACTGCTTTAACTATAATTATAAAATGTAATTGTAGCCATATAAATATCATAAATTTTTCTCTTAATGCAGATTTTCATTATATTTAAGAATATATCCTTACAATTAATTATGTTGACTATATTATAACGTATTACCGAAATCTGGAGGAGCTATAAGAATAACTCTAGAAATATCTCGTTTTCGTATAATATGCTGGACACTTTGTTTTATAAATACTATTGGATCATCTGGCTGCTGGATCAGTAATTGCGTCGCTAATTCCTATGAATTTTTTTATATTATAATACAATGCAATAAATAATATGATTTAATAGAATGAGATACTAATATAATCTAAAATACATACAAAATGTAACACAATGTATAATATAACAAATAATCAAATCGATAAAAAATATTTAAGTGGAGTAAGATGACCTTATTTTATTACATAAAAGAATTCATATAATCTGTGTTTTTCCATGTATGGTACAAAATCCGGCGGAATAATTGATAACTCTCTTGTCGCTTCTTCAAAATTACTCATATTTTATAAATTTGATGGTTAATTAATAATAAAAAGATATTAACATATATTTGATATATTTAATTAAATTCAAGCTATACGCGACTTTCAGTTTTCGAGAATTATTCGCTTTTTTTTTATTCATATACAGAGCATGTTGGAATACAGAGTAATGCAAATTGATCATATTTAGAGACGAATTATAATTTTCGAAGTAAATTAAAATGCGAAAACAACAGTTTCAGATATAAATTAAATTGAGATTACTGAACGATCGAATTGTAATCTATTATTTCTGAGAAACACAAAATAATAAGAATTAAAATTGTATTTTTTCATAAAAATCAGATAACTATATTTACAACAATAATATGTATATATCGGAAATAATTATAAAATATAATTTTTCGAAAATCTATGTGCAATTCAATGTTGAAATTTGTTATATTTATTAAAATTTACTAATAACTTAATATTAGTATTTACATTACATATTTACATTAAAACTCGTTATTTTACTGCATATTATCTTTTTTATTAATATCATATTATACATATATTATATACATATATGTACATAAAAAATACAATATGTGTGTTACAGTTCTTTGTGTAAAATTGTTATATTTCAAAGAATTTTTTAGATTTTTGTTCTGTAATTTTGCTAGCCTTCTTTTGCAAATTATAATTATTATTTTTATATTATTTTAATATTATTTCAGAATATAATAGAACGGAATAAAACCAAACAATGTACTCAAAACAGAACAAATCGAAAATCATGGATATGTTACCCACCGTGGAAATTATCCGTAGCTACATAGTTTTGTATATGGAGGCGCCACTAAACGGATTCCATCTGCTTCAAATCGTACAAACTTGACGGTTGATACTTGACTGTTTTTTAGAGAGGATATTTAATCGAAATCTCTCGGGATAAGGCAGCTTGGATTTCACATGTTTAGCTTATATTTAGTATTTTGAGAATTAATCTCTCTTAAACTATCACAAAGCACGTAAAAGCTTACTTCTAAAGTAATATTCATGTGATCTGTTCAAAATGAGTAAGAATATATTGTACTTGTTCGAAGTGAAAATCGATGTGTATTATTTTCCATTTTTTAATGAAACTATTCACGTTCAAAATTCTATGAAAAAAAGACAGAAGAAAGTTAAAAAATGTATATCTACGTGGATAAAATAATGTCTTTCTTCTATTTCTAAATTATGGAGTAGCATTAGTTATCATAACCTAATATTCTGTATAGTGAATAAGGATTGTGTTTATTAGGTAGAAAAAGAGGATCCCAGAGCAGTCGCAACATGAAAGAGAGTAGCGAAGATATGTTTTTATCCCAAGACTATCCTGGCCCGAGCAGCCAAGCCAGCCAGACTAGTCAGGCCAGTGTATCATCACGACATATTAGAAGTTCAATCAAGGATTCACAGATTATGAGTTCGCAGGATATGGAGACACAAAAAGAAATGCAACTAATCAGTAGTATAATAAGATACCTTTTCATGGCAGATCGCAACAAGCTACCTATACAGAAATCACACATTATCAAACATGTACTGGATGGAAATGGCAAAGTATTTCGTTTTATTATAGAGAGTGTAAATAAACAACTGTCTGAGGTATGTTTATTTACTTTATGAATACTATCTATTTTTAAAATGATAATGATTTATATATTAATTGCTCTTACAAAGCAAACTATTTAAAAAATAGAATTGTATATAAGATTAAAAATTTCACATAAATTATGATATTTGAAAGGTATTTGGATACAGCTTAGTAGAAGTTGAAGGTAATAAATATATATTGGTGAATAAAATAGAAAATGATCTTCCACATCTCATCTTCAATGATAATCATAAACTGGTGCTGTTATATCTTGTACTTGTTCATATTTTTATGTATGGTGAATCATGCAAAGAAGGTAATTTTTGCTTTTTGATAATTTACATGTTGTCTAATACATACCTGATATATTGATGATTTGTGATATAAATAATAAATTGAATTTTTGAGAAATTATTTAATAAGCTAATGTTGAAAATAAATAAAACATTTTTATAGAAATATTGTGGGATTTTCTTCAAAATCTGGGTATTATAACTGATGATAATTTTCAACATGAATATTTTGGCGACATCAAACAATTAGTAACAGTAGTAAAAATCAATATTAACTACAATATTAATTACAATTTATGTAATCATTGTAGTTGATTTTTAAACGATATTTATTCATATATAGGATTTTGTAAATCAGAGATATCTTGAGAAAGTAATAATAAATAAGAATGATCCAACGGATTTTGAGTTTACGTGGGGCTCTCGTGCGAAAAATGAGTTCACTTATCGTTCGGCTTTGCAATTTGTAGCAGATGTAAGTACAAAAATATGTAATATATTTAATAAAAGAGATTATAGAGATAAAAGAAATAAT